TTTAATAATAAAAAAATTCCTAATACCTATACGGAAAAAATGCTTTAAATAATCATCATCAAAATTCAATCTTTCAAAATCTATAACAATTATTACCTATGTAACCCTTAAACAAGCATAATGCATCTAATATACTAATTAGTTATTACTTATATTACTTATTTGTAGGAATTATCAATACCGTCCAGTTCAGGCAGTTCACATTTACCAACAAACAGTGAAAACAAGGTAAATATGTACAATCAATAATATTACACAAAACACAATACACAGTGTACTTTAAAAATGTTTTTTAAAACTACAATATTAGTACAATTATATTTTGCAGTTGGAAGATATAATTTTACTGAAGCCAGATATTGGATTTTACATAGGAAAAACAAACATTGATGATTACACAAAAAAGGCAATATTGGAAAATCACTGGTATCCACCTGAAGATTATGTTTTTCCACACTCTGAGCATAATCGTAATAATAAAGTCCGTAAACGATATCCATCATTTAAACATTTCAAATCATATAACTGGTTAGTTTTGTCAGATCTATGTCGAGGATTGTTTTGCAAATATTGTTTCCTGTTTGCGCCTTCTACCGCATCGAATAATCAATTAAATATACTTGTTAAAAAACCATTAATAACATTTGCAAAACTAGATGGCCAAGATGGTACGCTTAATATGCATTCAAGAAATAAATATCACCATAATGCTGTTCAGTCTGGAAAAATCTTTCTACAAACTTACTTATGTCCGGAAAAAGACATTATTAATCAAGTATGTTCACAAAGAGTGCAACAAATCAAAGACAATCGTGAAAGGTTACGCCCAATTATAGAGTCATTAATATTTTGTGGTCGGCAGAATATTGCTCTGAGAGGCCATAGAGATGATGGGTCATTAATAGATACTGATGGGAATGACAATGTATCTATTACATCAAATGAAGGAAATTTCAGAGAAGTACTTCGATTACGAATACGTTCGGGTGATGAAAAATTAAAAAAACATATTGAAACTACTTCATCTCGTTCAACATACATTGGGAAAAATACTCAAAATGATATCTTAAACTGTATTGGTAAAGTTATTAAAACACATGTTGTGGACAATGTTAAAAAGGCTGGTGTATATTCGATAATGTTTGATGAAACTACGGATATTTCATGCACCGAGCAACTTACTTTAGTATTGAGGTATGTGATAAATAATGAAATTCATGAAGATTTTGTGACATTTTTGGATGCTTACCAATCTATTAGACAAGAAGATAAATCAAATTCCGGGGAGTCAAAGCTTACTGGACATGCTCTTGGACATATTGTTATTGATGTTTTAACTAAAGATTTTGGGATTGATTTAAAATTATGTGTTGGAATTGGTACTGATGGGTGTAGTGTGATGATATCGCAAGATTGTGGAGCGGTAACAGAAATTTTAAAACAGTGTACAAATGCTGTTCGTTGCCCTTGTTATAACCATGCATTAAACAACTCTTTGGCCCAGTCATCTAAAATAGTTTCAGTAAGAAATACGATTGGAACATTAAAAGAAATAATTTCATTTTTTAATGCTTCAGCAAAAAGACATTTAGTGTTGAAAAATATCCTTGGCAAAACCTTAACTGGTTTGTGCCAGACCAGATGGATTGAGATGCATGATGGTATCTTGCAATTTAAATCAGCTCTCCCTAAGGTAATATTATATTCATACAATCATACATTTATATGTATATTGGTTATTAATTATTTTTAATATGAATTTGTTTAGATTGTTGAAGCACTAACTGAAGTATCAATATGGTCAGAAAGAATATCGTCTAGCAAAGCTTCAATTTTGTTGTCAGCCATAAACAATAGTGAGTTTATTATATGTATATTAGCTATGGTTGATGTACTTAAACTAACAATGCCAATATCACGACTTTTGCAATCAACGTCATTGGACTTAGCAAATGCTTCTTCATCAATAGATGGGGTAAAAGAAATTTTAGAGGAAAAACGTAAAAATTGTGTTTCTGAATTTAAAACAATTTTTTCAAATGCAAGTGACTTAGCTACAGTTATTGGATTTGACTTAAGAATGCCTAGAATAGTTGGGAAACAAATAAATCGTAGCAATTATCAAGCAAAAGATACTGAACAATATTATTTGCGAAGTATTTACATACCACTATTGGACACTGTGAAAACAGATATGACTTTGAGATTATCAATCAGTACTTTAGAAGCTTTCGATTTACGTTTATTAATTCCTAAAACAATTGTAGTGTTAACTGACAAAGATTCCTGCGAGAAAAAAAATATAATAAAAAGAATTTTAAACGTAGCAACTAAATTTTCTAAATTAAATGCAGAAGTTAAATTGATGACTCCTGATTTATTAGAAGGTATCTACTTAATAACAAATAACCAAACATAATCAATACCTATGCTTTTTTAAAATTTTTTTTTATCTCTAGGTGAAGTTATGTTATGGATCCATAAATGGAAGAAATGTACACCAGACCAACGACCGATTACAGCATTAGATGCCTTAACAAAATGTGATAATGAAATATTTCCTACTATAAGATTGTATTTACAAATATTAGCAACACTCCCAGTCAGTGTTGCATCGGCTGAGAGAAGTTTTTCGACTCTACGCAGAGTTAAAACTTGGCTTCGATCAAGGATGGACGAGGATCGTTTAACAAGTTTATGCTTGCTAAACGTACATCAAAATATTAATATGTATGATAAAGTGGACGATATAATAGAATTATTTGCAAAACAAAAAAAAAGAAGGCTGGAGTTTGTTGTATAAATATTTTATTAAATAAAACCAAATATAATGTGTAAATACAAGACATTATTTATTGACAAACTTACAGGTCCCAGGTTAGAATATTCTCTAAGTCCCCTTTGCAATTTAGTGATAGCTGAAAAAAAATGGCCCCCCCCTTTGTAAGTCTCTGAAGCCGCGCCTGAATCCAATACTATAATAATTAATAACACAAACATTTCTGTACTTTTTCTTGGTAACATAATTTTGTGTATATTAATATATTTTATTTATTAGAAAGGCAATAAGCTATTATCATTTTATAGTATTAGATGTTTGTAGTACAAATAAGTAATAACAATAATTTATTATCGATAAGAGAAATACAGCTGACCACCAGATTCTGAAAATTGGAAAGAAAATTCTAAAAATAACTTGAAAACTAAATTATCGTTTAAAGTAAATAGGTATAAAGTATAGACGTTATAGTTGTTTAGAATACTATAATATATACATGATAATTGATAATATTATGCTGGTCTATACTTGAAGACTAAAATACAATACAATATTATGAATTATAGTGCGCTTGCATCGGCCAGTCCCTTACGTTGTTCGTAATCAGTGTTGAGTTGTATCTAGATACATTTATCTAGATGAAAATTAAGTACCTTTATCTTATCTAGATGAATAAATTATATAATATCTAAATGGTATCTAAGATTTAAGTTATGGAAATCTACATAAATATCTAGATAAATCTCGTTTTATAATGCACATTTTTCATTTAGTCATTTTCCATCAAATATTATAATAATATGATACTACGCAAGTATGTTTAATGACGATTCATTATTATCGAATTAACAATAACACCCGTACGCCGACCGCAGACGCTGTCGAGGTCGTATATCAATACAAGCTGTTATACCCCACGATAATGTCCCGTCGATCAGTAAATAATGTGGAAAAAACTAAAAATAGTTCTCGACCGGCAAGAATACACACGCACATCTATTTTGTATTGACAATACCAATTCCCAATTGGATGTTATAAATAATAATATTTGCACTTTAATTTAATTTCTTATTTTAAAAACTTATTTAAATTTGCAGTTTGAATGTTATGTAAAAAATATAAACTAGTTTTTTAAACCAGAAAATATATGTTAATTAGTAATTAACCATGATTTTGGTTATTTGATATTTTGTTATACGTTGAAATTGGTACCTACTGTATGCTAAATATAATATATAGGTATTTAAATATTTTATATGTATATTTATTCATTAGATAAATATATTTTTGACACAAAACGAGCCTTCCTGGTTTGCATCCCTTAATCTATTACTCAACCAAGAATCCAATAACATGTCAAGCATTAATACAAATTAACTAGTGTAAGATATAAATCTAGATGAAAAAATATTATCTACATATTTATCTAGATAAAAATTGAATATTCTATCTTGATATTAATCTAGATATTGATTTAGCTAGTAATCTAATATTTATCTAGATGTTATTTTTGCTATCTGAACTCAACACTGTTCGTAATCGTACATATAAATTAGAAACTAGAAAGACACATTCACTCTTTATGTGATTTACTTAAAAAAAAATAGATTAACTTTTTTTAAACTGAGTAAAGTTAATTTTTTTTCTATATTTACTTTTAACTTATCGAGTTAAGTTTATAATTTGTTAACTGTTAACTTTTAACTCATCGATCTTGTGTCCTCTTAACTTAACTTGACTTGAGTTAATTATTTTCATTAACTTGCCCACCTTTGATTGTTTTCTTTGGGATCTTTTATTGATAAAAATAGGAGGTGGGCCAGCAATGGTACACTTATACTACTCAAGCAAACAGAGTTTAAAACGTGGTGCCGAAAAGAATACAGAAAAGAAACCTAAAAAAAAGCAGACGAAAATGGTGAGATAAAACATTTTTATGATGATAGCATAAATTATTTATTTATTCTTTTTATTTTTTTTATAGGCTACATCATCATAATACAGAGATAACGTGGGTGATCTTTTTAGATTAAAAGATTATGAGGAAGCAGTGACAAATTCGCTAACTTTCCGTCAAGGTTAGCCGTCAAGGCTATCACTACTAAAACTACTTTTGAGGTCAAGCCAACTGATTTCTGGGTCTTGACTCGTCATAAAAGTTCAAATATTGTGAATGTTGCACTTAAGGATAGGTAAATACTGGAAACACCTTTTGTATCTGTTAAACAGTATGATTCTATTTTACTATTTTATGTTAACAGATGGCGTCATTCCGAAGCATCGGTCAAGGTCTTCACAAGCGATAAATCGAAGGATCAGGCGTTGAACAACAGCTTGAATCAGAAAATGCAAGTGATATTTGATACAATGCTCCATTCAAATGATACAATAATCGAAATTTGTTTACTAATTAATAAACCAACTGTAACACTCTTCTTACCAAATGGGCGGATGTCGAAAGTTGATTTCGACACGATTATTTCTGGAGCTATGACGAATATTATTTTTTCAATAAATTAAAAAAATAAGGTATAATGTGTCTGACAGAGGTTATAATTTAAACTAACAATCTGTTTACGCTAGAGTTGAATTACTTCATACACGATAAACTAATGATTGAAAATCGTTGATATATTTTTGTAAATTCATTTTTTATAAATTGAGTAAGTAACTTGAGAAAACATAACTTCACTAAACAACGAATCATTAATTACTGAATAGTGAATAATAATAAAAAATGAGTAACTTAAAAATTCGGATATAAAAAAAACAATTTTTTCGTAATTAAAAAGTTGCTTATCAAATTTAAAAAAAACTGTAAATAACGTAAATGAAAAAATATAGTTTTGTGTACACGGTAAATATTTTCGTATGAGGGGTAAATAGGTGGACACTGAGGTGAAATTACCGTATTGTGTGATACGGTAATTCTGAGGCGTAACTTGACATGCAAATTGACGTTTGTTCTCACTTTGGTAGTTGTGTCTAGGTGATGCTGATTTCTGGTATTGTTGTGAAGCGTGTAAAGTGGTCAGTTTTGGTTGGGATTTATTTGTGGCCACCTTTTCACGCCCATTGCTGGGATGGCTGGCGGATGCGCCTTTGCAATACTTTGTTAAAAACGTAATAAATTCCTCTATACTAGGGTCATCATTGGTGTCAACTAGAAGCTCCCATTGAACTCGTAACTGATGATCCATCTTCATCTGGAACAGATGTAGTAACATGGGGTCCCATTGTTCTACTGCATAACTTTGGTTCATGAGTGCTCCAATTGATTCCGTAATTATATTCAACACCTGCCGAATGGATTTCGCATCACTAAACGGAGGTAGTATAGTGGAAGAAGGAAGAACAGTTTAGTTATCGTGGAGTGGGGTGTCTCTGTGGTCTAATCGGTTTGGTGCAATGACCACAGAGCTCACACCGATAGGGGACTTAATATTAACTTAAGCTTAAGGCAACCTGCGATACTTGTAGTGTAATGATTCTAATATGGTAACTTTGGAACCACAGGTAAGAGTGCATTATATCTTATTATAATATTGAATTTGAAAGAAGTAAAAATTAATATACATTTTAAACTTTATTTCTGTGAATACTTTTATAGTCTACAAATTAACATGATGGGTTGATAATAAACAGTTATTTAATATTTTATATCTATCATCTCATCAATTGTATCAAAAAAAGTTTTAAATTTTTAATGTAAATTTGATTTTCTAAATATTTATTAACTGTGTTGAAGTAAGTTGTATAACTGTCAACTTATAACAAAGATATAGCACAGTACATAATGCTTCTAATTCGGCTTACTGGATTTTTGTTGCTCATATCATTTATTGCATAATAATATGCTTATGCTATTAGCTTATTATAATATTTGAAGCTATAATGTATTTTAATTTATAGTTGCTACTGCACAGTGACAGTCATAGCATTAATTTATATACATATGAATGCATTATAATAAATTACATAAGAAGAAGATATATTTCAAACAAATTAAAATGGTGAACTAAAATATTATCTACTGACTATATACATACATATCAATATCTTTTAATAAAATCATCCAGAAATGTATAGGTAGTTGATGAAAAAAAAATATTTAATACTCTAGTGTGAAAATAACTGCTTAACTGTGCTAGCTGGCCATCAAAATTACCTCACACACACATTCAAATTTGCTACTGCACATTTGAATAATTATGCTATTACACATTGCGTATGTAACTACACATAAAAAAGGCCCTGCTGAATATTTGCTTGTAGTTGATATTTTATAATTACTTATTTAGATGTTTCATATACATGTCATGTTTGAAATACATTGAAAAAAAGCAAAATACCCAAGGCTAAAGTGTTTTAACAATAAACTCGGATGTAGCATGTGCAAAGAATTTGCTGAATTCAAATATTTTAAAAGCCATAATATTGAAATGGCAAAAGAATGGATTTGTTGCCAAATAGACAGTAGTAATAATCCCAAAAAAATAACTCGGACTTCAGGAATAAAATTAAAAAACATAATTCTTCTAAAGCACATACAACTGCTTTCAATGTTGCAACTTAAAAAGAAACAAATTCACTTATAATTAAAAAAAATTATTTTTTAAAACATGCTTTTCTTAATTCTACTTAATATATGAACTAAAAAGTTGAAAATAAACTTACTTTTAAAACGATTTCTTAATGAAACTTCAAGGTTATCAAGATATTACCAAAAGTGTATGTATAATGTATTTGTTGCAACATTTTTAAAACTTGTGAATTACAAAAAACGAAAAGCATGGGGCTCCTATGAGTCAAAAAGATCTCTTACAAAATTGGAATTATGATCAATAATCTTTAAAATACTTATCATAAAGTTTATTTAATGATTCAGCTGTATAGTGACTTTACATAGGAGTTATTATAAGTGCCCCATGCTTTTCGTTTTTTGTAATTCACAAGTTTTAAAAATTTTGCAACAAATACATTATATATACACTTTTAGTAATATCTTGATAACCTTGAAGTTTCATTAAGAAATTGTTTTCAAAGTAAGTTTATTTTCAACTTTTTAGTTCATGTATTAAGTAGAATTAAGAAAAGCATGTTTTTTTATTTTCTACTTTTTAGTGATAACAATAAATTAGAAACAAACGATTT